GCTATTGGTATACCAAGTTCCGATATAAACGGTTTCAATGGAGACAAGGTACCGCTTGTGAGTATTACTGAACGTATTCCTTGTTCTACCATCTGCTCCATACTATGTAGAAAGACGGAAACAAACACGACTGTATCTCTCGTATGATTTATAATTATAAAACATTTTCTTTTTACTTTAAATGATTTATACCCAAAGCCAGGACTAAAACACCAATAACTAATAAGTTTTCCATCCGTTTTTATTGTCTTCTTGGTCTCCCAAACATCATTCTTGTAATTCTTTTTCTGCTCTTCTATCTGTATGTGGACTTTGTAGCAGCGTTTTACTTTCTCTTTGTGACGTACGATAGAACTACCGCTATTAAAAGCGGTCTTCAATAAGTCACTAAACTTTTGCATTGCATTTCCCTTTCTCGCAAATGGAGAAGTACTAGTAGTTGTCAAATATGAAATTATCTTTTCCAACTTATCTATCACAATTTGTTCCTTACCATGTGTCAACTGTTACAAAAATTATATATCAATAATTATAAATAAATAAATAAAATAAATAAATAAACAAGTAAATATATATATGAAATTTAACAATGTTGTTTAATAAAGTTACAATGTATGTCTGTGTGTATTTATTGATAAAGAATGTTTACCTCAACTTTCTCAAGTAATTCAAAAATAAATCCACCAGGGAAAGTGTCTCCCTCGTTACGATTTTTCAATTCGATGGAATCGATTGCTTTTTCCAGTTCCAAAAACATTGTCTTTAAGATGTATAAATCCTCTGCTGTGAAATCTTTTTGAACATTATTCTCTGATAAAAAGTCATTTTCCAAATCTGCATCCTTAACTATATCTTTCATTACTGCAGTTACTTCATCAATACATAATGCAATATCTGTACTACTTATCTATATAAGAGAGGATATATATAATATTTAATTCGAATATATACAAAACATCAAAGAAGAAAATTTGTCTTTATACCTGTAATGACGCTGCTTCTTCGCAAACTTTCTCGACATTATGAGCTTCATCCAACAAAACTACGGTATTTTGTAAATCTATACTCTGCGATTTTCGTGTTTTAGGATCTAGCAGATAATTATAAGGCATGAAAACAATATCTGCGCTTTGCTTCAATTCTTTTGCCAAAAAGTATGGGCAGCATTTGTGTTTCTGTCCAATTTTAACTAAATCTTCTATATCTAACACCTCCTGTTTAAAAACAGGATCATCTTTTCTAAACATATTTAGAGTTTATATAGTATTTTAATAGCTATTTTTTTTCATTTTTATTAAAAAATTACTGGAGTATTTAAGCACACACCTTGCTTCAACATTATTGAAGTAAAAACAAGTCCTTGATTTTACTTTGGAATGACACATGTGTACTTTGTTAAAAGCACTTGTTTCTTTAGAAACTTCTGGATGAATGCATAGCTGATCTCGAGATCCTAATACAGCAGTGGCAACATGCTTGTACGATGTTTTCTTCAATTCGTGCATAGCCTGAGACAGTTGAGAATGCGTTCGGGATGCATAAATAATTTTGGGCATAGCCCATCCAAAATTTTGAACATTATCTGGTACTCCTGATGCCTTTTCAAGCCCGTCAATTAAATATTTAAAAAAATGTCCACCAAAGTCTTTCTTCTCAATTGCACCCGCTATCACTTGTGCTTGTAATTGAGCTTTCTTTGTTAATAGCCAACTTAAGGAAGAACACAAAAGGCTGAGAGTTTTTCCGGTACCTATGGGATATATTCATTTAATTAATGGAAAATATAAGAAAAATAAAAAAAAGAAATAAAAGAGATAACAAATAAAACATACTAATAAAAAAATTCTGTTTCATGTAAAATTTTCTCAAATGACGAATTTTAACATTAAGAGATAAATTATTTTCTTATACAAAGAAAAATTATATTTTATAATATATTTTTTTTAAATATAGGGCTTTACATTCCCCCCCCCTTTTTTTTTTTTTTTGGAATGTTATTTTACACGAATTTTCTAGGATTCGATATTTTTCAAAACTAAGCATAGGTATACCTGTGGGGGACTCCAAGACACCGTGTTGACCATTTTGCAGACATTCTATCACTTTTTTCATGTACTCTTCCTGTACGGAATACGGTTTGAAAGGGAAGCTAACGACGATATCATTAATCGTGATGTCAGGCATCTCGAGGGTCCGGTCAGTCAACAAACACTCGTCAGTTGTAATAAAATTCTATAGTTCTACGGGAATGCTTCTTCCCGCCAGAATAAAGAACCAACCTAATCTTATCTCCTAGTGGATATTTTATATTTTACCTAACTTTACTTACGTTTTCTCACATTGCGAGTGCAGAAAGTGCAGAAAGTGCAAAAAGTGCAATTGTGCGAACGGATCTCTTGTTTACATACGTAGAGTTCGCAATTTGTCAAGAGCGTCTCAACTCCCTCTCGTAATTTGCGTTCGAGCGATAAAAGGTAGATAAGAGGAAAGCCTCTGGGGGATAATACCACGATAAGGATTTGCGCGACAATGAGTTGACCAAAAATAAGCGGGCCGCTACATTCGAAGGGAAGACAACTCGAGCGATCAGGTTCATGCGTGACAGTCAGCTGATCAGCTGACGTGAAACCGACCGGTTGGTGCTGGAGCGCGATACGCGTGTAACAGGTTTGTGCCTTCTTGATTTACTTTTCGTATAGTTTGTTCGTCCTTAAGCAAACTGGTAGAGCTTCCCCCGTCGTCTGATAAGAGCGGAGAAGCTGAATTTTGGATAGTGCGATAGATCAACTTTATCTGTCGCGTGTATATAAATAATTGTTGAAGGCCAACAGCTATTGGTTATTGACCCCGAAAAAGAGCTGCGACGCGAAATACCATATGTATGTCTTCTTTTGATAAGCATTTTAAATACATAGATTTTGATACCCCTATACATTTTTTTATAACTTTAAGTATGCAAGTTATATGTAAAAATATATGATTCATATAATGTATCACTTACACCTTATCACTAAAAAACTTATAGAATATTTGAATTGAATATATATATATTATATATTAATAATTTTTACTGTATACTATATATACTATATATACTATATTAATTTTTTGAGATATGATGAAAATATAATTTATATTTTTGCATAATCAACATAAACTGCACACATAGATGGTGTAAAAATATTAATTTTGTTACAAACCTATCTTTCTATTTATTTTGCAGCGTGTGATTGTAATTAACATAAATATTCATTATGCGTCTGGTAATTTGTGACACAGTGGATTATGTCGCAGAATGGTCTGCAAAGTATGTTCTAAAGAGAATCAATGACTTCAAACCTGACGAGAACAAGTATTTTGTTCTCGGTCTCCCTACAGGTACGTAAGTTTTTATTTTTAAATGTTTGTTTAATTATTATCTAATCAATCTTTTTTCTTTGCTTTCTTTTCATATTGTGCAGGTGGTACGCCTTTGGGAATGTATAAAAGGCTCATAACGTATTATCAACAAGGCAAAATTTCTTTCAAGTATGTTAAGACGTTTAACATGGACGAGTATGTCGACTTGCCAAGGGATCATCCAGAGTCATATCACTATTACATGTACAACAATTTCTTCAAACACATAGATATAAATCCGGAAAATGTGCATATACTTGACGGAAATGCGCCGGACCTTGAGAAAGAGTGCAATGATTTTGAAAGAAAGATCAACGAGGCTGGTGGAATAGAATTATTCATTGGAGGTACATTGGTAATTTTGTTAAATGTAAAGATAATAGATTTTTTTCTTAATTGCAGCAAGTGTTTGTAGAAAAAGAAAAAGTGTCAGGTTTGTCTAATCGTAAAACATTATTTGACAGGTATCGGTCCGGATGGACACATAGCTTTCAATGAACCAGGTTCGTCGTTAGCTTCTCGCACAAGAGTGAAAACTCTTGCGCAAGATACTTTGGAGGCCAACGCGAGATTCTTCGGAGATGACATCAATAAAGTGCCGAAGCAGGCCTTAACTGTAGGTGTCGGCACCGTAATGGACGCGAAGGAAGTAATGATCCTCATCACTGGATCTCATAAAGCCTTTGCCCTTTACAAAGCGATAGAGGAGGGTGTTAATCACATGTGGACGGTATCAGCGTTTCAACAACATCCTCGTACGCTTATAATCTGTGATGAAGACGCAACTTTGGAGTTACGTGTGAAAACGGTTAAATATTTCAAGGTAATCTAATCTAATCTCTCTCGTATGTAGACTTGGTGTTCTTCTGAGATAGAGACAGGCTAAGTTAGTTAAATAAAAAATATAATACGGAAATTCCGTCTTGTATTCAATTTGTATGCTATATAGGCACTCAGTGATGTACATCGCAAATTGATTGAGGAAGATGGAAATGCAATCCCCCGTCGCACAATGCAAAATAATTGAAATGGTAGTTATCTTCACATGATCTTTATGATCGATCTAAATTCTGTCAAATTATAATACATATAACACATATATAATACAATAATACATATCCATTTTCCTTTCTGCGTTTGTAAAAAATAAGTTGTATATGATATATAAATTATATTTAGCTATCTTATGAATTTATCGTAAATTGTGAATTCTAGATAATTAAATTTAAAACTCTTATCATGTTTTTCTTACAGAGTTTGTGGGATATTCATAGCAAATTGATCGAGCAAGACAGCCGAACACAGTGAGAATCTTATTATTTTCGACGATTCGGGGGAATCGTCGAAATTAAATAACATATGATTCACAAAAAGAACAAACGGAAAGAAGTTAAACATTGATAATCAAGCTGTGACTAAATTGATGAAATATTATGTTATGAAATATCCTACATTTGTTATTTTAACCATATTTTGACTTATATGAAATTTTTAATTATATATGCTGTATTTTACAACTGCCATATAAATGCCAGGGAAATGTATTTTTATATTGTTCTGCAAATAAATTTATCTTTTGTATCATCACATGTATCGCAGGAAAGTATTTCCTGAATGTGATCAGAAATTATAAAATTAATCTAATTTTTCACATTTCCAAACATTCCGATAAACAAAATATGACCTATCAAATTTAATTTTTAATTAATAATAATATACGAATGTTATATACCTATAAAAATACGACACAACGCGATTGTTAAGAATAACGGTAACTCTTTAAATATATAATTTATGTGTAAATTATGGGCGATCATCACAGATCACAGATCCCTCATAATAAAACGAGGACAAACTGATCGGGTATTGAGAGAGAAAAGTTGAAGGACGATAGCTGGGACGATTATAGCCGCATGCGAATTGACTACACGCGTCTCTGCGTGCAAAGATTAATCTCATCCGGCACGTATATGTATACGTATACATATATACTGCAAACGTCACGTGGCAATCTACCGTGACTCTGTCATATTACGTGTAACATAAAAAAATTTTCTTTCTTTTTTATTCTTTATTATTTTTCACCTGTTAAACGAAACATGTCACAATAATTTAAGGAGCTTGGATTAAATCACTTCTAATCAGAGAATATTTTCCCTCGGCTTTAAAAATATTAAATTCATCCGGGAAAAAAATGTCATCCATATATAGGGTGAGTCATTTTAATCAACGCACGCAAATATCTCGTAAAGTAAACAAGATGGAAAAAAATATTATATATAAAATATGTGTGCTTTTTTTCTCTTGTATAATCCATATGTTTTTGTATATACAGGAAAAATAAGAATAAACGAAAAATAATTAGAAGAATAATTCTGACATTGTCCTTTTTTTTAGAAAAAGTAAAATACGGAAATTATTCTTCTATAATTATTTTTTGATTGTTTTTTTTAAATATTATTTTTCCTGTATATATACGGACAAGGAATACACAAAAAAAGAAAATACGTACATGTATAGATATGTTTAATATATTTATGTGAATTTTTCGACATGAAAAATTCACATTATTATAAAAAATTGTTTTAAAAAAGGTAGCGCTGTTTGAAACGAATACAACGATGTATGATATAATGTATATATTTTACATATTATATATACGAGTTTTATCAACTTGAAATATCGCGGGCTACCTTTTCATTTTCGGCCCTGCGATATGGCAAACTTCAAACTGAGTATTATGATCAAATGACAACATGACATGACATATGTCAATCTCTAATGCACGAGCCAGAAGTTGGCCATAACGCAGGGCAGAAAGTGAAAAGGTAATAGACGTCGCCCGCGATATTTCAAGTCGATAAAACCCGTATAATATATGTAAAATATTTACATTATATCATATACAATATACATTGTTGTATTTGTTTCAAACAGCGCTACAACTTTTATCATATCGAAAAATATCCACATTATTATAAAAAAATTATGCATATCTCTCCATTCGTTAATAACACATGATAGCTCTTTTGGAAGCAACTACTATGCTCACAATAAAGTTCAGTTTGAATTATTTGATTTGATATATATTTGTTATGATCTATCTCTTTTAGTTTAAAAGATAAAAGAGAGTGGCCACTTTTAGTGGGACACCCTGTATAATATTTCTTATATATTAATCTTCTTTCTCTATCTCTCATTTTATTAGTAAAATTTAATAGTTTGTCACAATTTAAAGCTTCTGGTCCCTTATTGGCATCATATTGAATTATAACGTCAGAAATCATGAGTTTTTTTTTGCGAATACATTCAAATAAATAAATTTTTTTGAATGCGATTACTCGTGTTCGATAATATGGATTAGTCACAAAAAATCGAATAGTGATGCTCCTACGACTGGCTTTTACTGCCTACTTGAGACGTAAAATAAGAATAAATTTAGATAGAAAAGTTTGTTACATTAAAAAAATAAATATAAAAATAATGGGCTGATACGAGCATGACAAGATTGTTAATAAATAAGGATTTCTTTTTTTAAAGGTAGATATAATTGTCGAAGTATCTTTAATAGATATAATAGATGGAAGTGAAATGTTTTGATACTTACTTTTGTATTTCTTCACGCAAATATACATATAATTATAATATATATAAAAAACGAAAAAAAAACCGTACCATATGAGTTACATGTTAAAACGGATCTAACAATAAGTAATGGACATATGGAAAATTAGCAAAAGGTCACAAGAGCCATGGGCGTCCGCAGAATTTTTTCTAGGGAGGGGCATATCACTTTCAGATTAATTTAAAAAAATGTATACTTAAATATTTTTACATCTTTTAGTATTAAAGCTTTCTCACCGCGTCAAGGTAGACGTAAATCGAAAAAGATTTTTGTTTTTTTGTGTTTTAAAAAATTTCTTTTTGTATTTAAAAAAGTTTTTTTGTATGTTTTTAAATAATTTAATATTTTTAATTAAAAATTTTTTTTTCCATTTTCCAGGGGGGGGGGCACGTGTCCGTTTTGCCCCCCCCCCCTGCGGACGCCTAAGACAAGAGCCTAGACCATATTCTGTCATTATGTAACATTGATCGAATTTTTGCGTTAAAAAAACCTTGTTTTCTTCCTTCTTGTCCATAATAGTCACTCACTTCTATAAATGCGTTTTAAGATGTGACTCATCATATATAATATGTTTCTTCTTTATCGTTTATATATTTCTGGCTTAAGAGACACAAGTTAAGTGTGTTTCACTTTTATTTATACCTATTATTAAAGATAATTTAACACAATATTATATATATATATATATATATCTACGTTCTTTAAAAATTTTTTTTTATTATTAACAACCTTTTATTTATACTCTTATAGGCTCATTACTTTTGTACTTATTTTCGCAAAATAAGAGTTTAATTCCCATAAATAAAAATTTGTGAA